TGAATTTCATAATGGCACGCGGAAAAGCCCTTTGCAAAGAAATTCGTGAATTGATTATTGTTAAATACAAATTTAAGAAAAGTTTTTCCGAAATTGCAAGAGAAGTTAATGTTCCAACTCCTACGGTGCAAAGTATAATTAGAAATTATAACGAAACTGGACAGATTTTGCCAAAAGAGCACGTGGGAGGTCGAATATCAGTGATTTCCGACCGCGATATTCGGCAATTAAGCAACATTATTAAACAAAATAGGCGGAGTTCTGTAAGAAACTTGGCTGCTGCATGGTCACAGAAGATTGGTAAGCGTGTAGGACGTGAGGGGACCCGGTTGCAGCTGCATAAGTTGAAATATAATTTTTATAAGGTAGGGTTTCGAGTGTGATGCATTTCAGAATCCTAACAAATTTATGTTGCAATTAACAGGCAAAAAGGAAACCGTTACTAACAGTCCGTCAAAAGCAAAAAAGATTAGCTTGGAGTAAAGCTAGACGATTGTGGGTCCAAAGACAATGGGACTCCGTCATATTTAGCGACGAATCTAAGTTCGATGTTTGCGTAGGCGACTCAAGGACTCGTGTAATACGAAAGAGAAATGAAGCATATCATACAGACTGTTTGAGAAGGGCGGTAAAGTTCCCAGCGAGTGTCATGGTATGGGGTTGTATGTCCTCGAAAGGAGTAGGAAAGCTTCATTTTATCGATGGGACTATAAAAGCCATGGATTACGTCAATATTTTGGAGACAAATTTGCTTCCTAGTATACCCAATTTGTCTACAGCAGACGAATATATTTTTCAGCAAGATGGTGCTCCGCCTCATACCGCTAAATTTACCAAAAACTGGTTTCTCAGTAAAAATATACCTGTTTTAGACTGGCCTGCTTCCAGTCCGGACCTTAATCCTATTGAGTCTCTATGGCCGCTAATGAAGAGAAGACTTCGAAATGACCCCCAGAGGACTATTGATGGCTTAAAGGCAAAAATTAGTGAAACCTGGGATTCTATAACTCCAACTGAATGTTTATCACTAACTAAAACTATGCATCTTAGACTGAATGCCGTAATAAATGCAAAGGGGGACGTTACACAGTATTAAAGTTCAGTTACGTTGACTGTATGAAGTAATAGTGGTCGCTTTAATTTTCTTAATATTAGTAGTTCCTTTTGAAATAAATGAACATTTCCTTTATGTATCAAAAAATTATTTTTTTCTTTTTTTAATATAAAAGCTAGTCTATTAAGCTCTTCAAAAAGTAGAATTCGCTTATAAAAAAAATTCACCACCTACTTGCGAAAAATCGTTGAAAGTGGAAACGTAAAAAAATGTGTAAGTGTATGAAGTAATAGTGGTTAGGGCAAGTATAAGATGGTCAAGATTGTCCTAAAGCTAACTTAGCTATTAACAGCTGAACTTTTTGTAGTTGATTTGCATAGTGAATACCAGTAAATTAGGGATCTAAAATTATACCATCGTAATCCTTTTTTAATTCTCTATAAATACGTGATTTTATTGCGGATTTCGGCGGAATATCGCTTCGTTAACAACATTTGTTCCACAACTTTTTCAATCCATATAGGTATTCTGAAGAAATCCACAATAAAGTCTAAATTTATGACCTTTGGTTTTAAGATAGCCACGCCCATTTCTAGAATTTTTTTGCATTGAAAAAGTTGTGGAACAAATGTTGTTAACGAAGCGATATTCTGCCGAAATCCGCAATAAAATCTGCGTTTTGCTAATTTTAGTCCTGCAATTGCCACGCCCATTTTTTCGTCGCCTTAAAGAAAAATCTTGCCGTACAAATATTATACCTGGGTAGGTATTCTATCGGAATCTGCAATAAAACTTAAATTCTTGCAAAAACTTAACACCTTACTAAATATATCTCAACATAAGTTTTGGAAAAAAATTTACAAAAAATGTATGATTCTCACAAAATACCCTCATAAAGAAATTTTTTTCTGAAAACCCATTTTTTCGCACGTTTTTTATAGAGAATTAAAGAACGATTACGATGGTATAATTTTAAATCCCTAATTTACTGGACTTCACTATGTAAATCAACTACAAAAAGTTCAACTGTTAATAGCTAAGCTAGCTTTAGGACAATTTTGCCATCTTATTAAGTTAAACTTTTGGCAAATAAAATTAATCTTTTGGCAAATAAATTAAATCTTTTGGCAAATAAAATTAATCATTTGGCAAATATATTTAATCTTTTAGCAAATAAATTTCACCGTTTGGCAAATGAAATTAATCTTTTGGTAAATAAATTTAAACTTTTGGCAACAAAACAGAAAAACCAAAAAACACTTTTCAGCTATCCTGCAGGTTAACTCTTGATATTGGCGCAGTAAAGCTAAGCGTCAAAGGTAAAATAACTTTTCCTAGCACAGCAGTTTTTAGTGTTTTTTTTACTTTATCAAACAAAGTTTAGTACTACAGTAGAGTTTAAATTTATTTGCCAAAAGATTAACCTTTAATTAGGCGCATAAAGAAAATCAGACAATTAGTCGATGGGGCCCCAGTGACCCTAATAAAAGTTTTGAAAAGAGCTTTCAAAATAAAAAAAGGAAGTGTGTATTAACAAAAATATTAAAGTACTCTATTATCGTTAACCTAAAAAAAGAAAAACATAATTCCGACTTCAAACTAAAAAAAAAAAAATTTAAACTGGCTTCCGCCAAAAAATGTTACGTTAGTAGGCGCATGGGGTCAGCACTCAAGTAAGTAGCGACACATGTGTACACGACGATGTTCTAACCGTAATTAAATAAATGAAACGAAATGTATATTGTCATAAATATTAAAGCTCTTTATTATAGTTAACTTTAAGAAAGAAAATCATAACTTTGACTTCAAACTTAGATACAAAAATAAAAACCAAAAAATGCTTAAAAGTAAGTGGTCGCATGGGGTCAGGGCTTAAAAGAGTAGCGACAAATGTGTACACGCCGATGTTCTGGCCGTGACTTATTTACGTACCCCGAGGGGAGTTATGAAGCTAGACAGTGCGCGAGCAAGCTCCAAGCAGTCCAAGACATTTTTTTCAGCTAGATATGACCTAGACCCCATGCACCTAATTAAGGGTTAAATTTATTTGCCAAAAGATTAATTTTATTTGCCAAAAGTTTAACTTAAGGTGTCAATGCTATATATAGAAATGTTAAGCCCGTTTCGTTAGCTTTAAAACGACGTTAAGATGAAGCCTCTACAATGAGCAGAACCCGAGATATAACGATTTGGAGAAGTACATGATTAGTCAGAATTACGAAAAAATTCAAACTTTGACAGATCATATTTCCGAAGAAAAAAAATTAAAAAAAAAAATTTCCTCGAATACGTGTCAGCTCATGTATAGAACCCATTAAAAAATTTTAAGCACATCGAAAGTGTGACACCAAATTTGGCGTCCGATATGAAAAAGAATGTCTGAGGTACATTATTTTATATAAGTTTACGATAAAGGCCCCATTCACTTGTNGGTGTCAATGCTATATATAGAAATGTTAAGCCCGTTTCGTTAGCTTTAAAACGACGTTAAGATGAAGCCTCTACAATGAGCAGAACCCGAGATATAACGATTTGGAGAAGTACATGATTAGTCAGAATTACGAAAAAATTCAAACTTTGACAGATCATATTTCCGAAGAAAAAAAATTAAAAAAAAAAATTTCCTCGAATACGTGTCAGCTCATGTATAGAACCCATTAAAAAATTTTAAGCACATCGAAAGTGTGACACCAAATTTGGCGTCCGATATGAAAAAGAATGTCTGAGGTACATTATTTTATATAAGTTTACGATAAAGGCCCCATTCACTTGTATTATATTCCTCCCAAGATAATTAACAATTAAATATTTAAAATCGATTAATGACGCTAACAAATGAAATTTATATATTTTTTTGCTTAAATTCGAATTAAGTCGCTTAACTGGCTTTCTATTACGAGACGAACGACGCAGTTCAATGGGTGGTGGAATGGCTGAAGAAGTTGGTAGTCGTCCAGCTGAAGTTGTGGGCTGTGTGCGACGCTCGGATGGAGTTATTGATTCCGCAGACTTGTTTGTAGACGGGTGCTGGTCGCGGAGTTGAGGCCCGAACGGTCGATGCAACGATTTTGTGGAGGCGGTGACTTTAGGGTATGTTAGTGATGCTTGCCTCTCAGCAAGAGCTTCTGGCGAAGCTTCGGGAATCGCACCAGTATCGGTGTCTGGAGCGATATCGTAACACTGGACAGAAAGCTCTTCTAATAAGCTAGGTTTCAGATGATGTACGTGCCGCTTCCAAAATCTGCCATCTGGAAGACTAACGGTGTATGTTGCGGGTGACATCTGGTTCGTAATTTTGCCTTGCATCCATCTTCCTTTCATCAGGTCTTTCACCATCACGACGTCGCCATGTTGCAGGGTACAACGCCGTTTGCCAGGCGTATTCAATTTCTTTCGCTCTTGTTGTTTAAGTACGTGTTCACGTAGATTGGGTCTGATTAAGTCCAATCGAGTTCTCATGGTTCGGCCGAACTGGAGTTCAGCTGGTGAACAGTTTGGTCCTGCGGAAAAGCACGATAATGCATCAAGAATTTGGATAAAGGGTCCTGTCGAGTTAGGCCTTCCTTTAAGAGAATTTTGAATTTACTTTCGAGGGTACGAACTCCGTTTTCGGCTGCCCTATTCGATGCTGGGTGATCTGGAGCAGTCTTTTAGCATTCCTCTGGCTTCCAAGAACTTTTCTAACTCGTCCGAGGTAAGACTTAGGCCATTATCACTCAATGCTCTTCCACTACCACCATATGCGTATACGCATCAGCCGCTCGCTTCATACCAACCGGACGCATCGCCGAAATCCGCCCAGGCTTTTCCACTGAAGCGGCGGAACTCGCAGACGAGCGTGATCGAATCCGCCAGACTAATCCAGGGGATCCCGGTATAAGAGATCTCAATAGGGACATTAGAAACCTTGTCAACGAACACAAGCAGAACACATGGAATGATCATATAAAGACCTGCAATCTCACAAGTGGAGCCTGCAAACTGTGGTCCACAGTCAAGTCTCTTCTTTAGCCGGCAATGCACGCCCAGAGAGAGACAAAACCCGCCGCAGCGTGCTGCGTGCAGGAATAAACTTGGTAAGCTACGCTGATGACTGCACTATAATGGCAACTGGCCCACACATCGACAGACTCTGCGATCAAATAACCGACTATCTCACCGATCTTTCCAATTTCTTCACTGCAAGGAGCCTCAAAATCTCCGCCGTAAAATCCACCGCCACACTCTTTACAACCTGGACCAAGGAGGTGGGGCTAGAGCTGGACGTCTTCGTCGATGGCGAGAAAATACCGACGACTAATCACCCTAAAATCCTAGGACTGACGTTCGATACCCTCTTCTCCTTCTCCGCGCATGCCACAGCCACATGTAACAAACTCCGAGCCAGAAACTCTGCTCGTGACCTACAAGGCATTTGGCCGGTCAGTGGCAAACTACGCGGCACCAGTGAGGACGGCGGGGACAAGCGACACCCAGTGGAGGAATCTCCAAACCTGCCAGAACGCAGCTATACGTACGGCTACAGGTGGTCATCTCATGTCATCCGATCATCACCTCCATGAAGAAAGCCAGATGCTGGAGGTGAAAGAACACAACACCATGCTGTCGAAGCAATACCTCGTGGACGCAGCAAGATACAGAGCGGCGCTCAACAGCCTACACAGCGATGCGGTCAGAACGAGCATCAGCACGCGCAATAGCAACATCTTCTTAGGCGGTCGACCGCCGCCCATTAATTTAGACAACTCCGTTCGGGGTGGTGGCACCGACTCAACAGCTACATCTCCCGGTTGAACACACAAGTGGCAAACAGCTGTCGCGCTTGTGGGCAAGGTCCCCACGACACCCAGCACCTCTCCGTATGCACATCCAACCCTACGAATCTGACACCAGAAGCGCTCTGGACCGCGCCTATCGACGCTGCCCGTTTTCTCGGCCTCAGGCTTACAGAGTCGGAGGATGAAGACGACGATACATGACAGAACCTGGGGGGGTTGAGCACTGCTGCTGCAACAACAACAACAACAAGGAGAGCCCGAAATCCAGAGCGAATTAGCGAACACAGAAGCAAAGGCAAAGGCGACCACGTCATCGTCTACGTAAACAGAAGCAAGCGCACAAGCAGGCAGAGCCGGGTAAATGCAATTACAATGCAATTACAATTACATTGCCCAGTAATTGTAATTATGAATCAATTCCTTCAGTTCACAGCAGAGGAATCTATTACTTTCCCAATTCCTTGAAGTAATTTCGAATGGATTTGTACCCCGCGGGGAGTTATGAAGCTAGACAGAGCGCGAGCACGCTCCAAGCACTCCAAGACATTTTTTTCAACTTGACATGACCTTGACCTAGGGTTGGGACTATCCGCATATTCGAATATCCGGATATCCATGCGGATTATCTGTTGACACGAATTAAATCCAGATAGTATGGATATCCGTTTAATGTTCGTTTGTGAAATTATTCGGATATCCGGATTTACGAAGATCCAGTTAAAATTCGTATTTGCGGATATCAAAAAAAAATCAACAAACTGATTAATAATATTCGCGTATTCAATTATGCACATGATAGAGTGAATTAGCTCTTGACGGACTTGAAGTTGAGCCTTTGTTTTGTATCGTTTTATCACAATATAAACAAATGGCACTATACTTGTCATGACTTTTTTAGAAATTCTACAATTTGGTAAAGCATTCACCACGACCAAAAGTATCGCAACAGCTTTCATCATTCCATCCATGATATTTTAAAGTCATGAAAAAACTCTCGCGGTCAATTTTATATATTTTACTTTTATTTTTACGAAATGATACTTTGATTTCCCAATACCAGGCGCGCATGCAAATGAAGCAGCAGAACACATGGAATGATCATATAAAAACCTGCAATCTCACAAGTGGAGCCTGCAAACTGTGGTCCACAGTCGAGTCTCTCTGCAATCCGACGAAGAGTAAGGAAAATGTCGGTCTCACCTCCGGCACCACCACCACGTCGGATCCGCGGTCGTGCGCGCGCTTCTTTAGCCGGCAATGCACACCCAGAGAGAGACAAAACCCGGCGCAACGTGCTGTGTGCAGGAATAAACTTGGTAAGCTACGCTGATGACTGCACTATAATGGCAACTGGCCCACACATCGACAGACTCTGCGATCAAATAACCGACTATCTCAAAGATCTTTCCAATTTCTTCACTGCAAGGAGCCTCAAACTCTCCGCCGTAAAATCCACCGCCACACTCTTTACAACCTGGACCAAGGAGGTGGGGCTAGAGCTGGACGTCTTCGTCGATGGCGCCAAAATACCGACGACTAATCACCCTAAAATCCTAGGACTGACGTTCGATACCCTCTTCTCCTTCTCCGCGCATGCCACAGCCACATGTAACAAACTCCGAGCCAGAAACTCTGCTCGTGACCTACAAGGCATTTGGCCGGTCAGTGGCAAACTACGCGGCACCAGTGAGGACGGCGGGGACAAGCGACACCCAGTGGAGGAATCTCCAAACCTGCCAGAACGCAGCTATACGTACGGCTACAGGTTGTCATCTCACTGCACTGTTGCTGCAACAACAACAACAACAAGGAGAGCCCGAAATCCAGAGCGAATTAGCGAACACAGAAGCAAAGGCAGAGGCGACTACGTCATCGTCTACGACACAAAACCTTGAACCATTCAAAAGGTGTAATCTACAGTAACGAACTTAGAGGCATATCAAAAGAACACATTCTTTCTGAACTAAAAGATCAGAACGTCAATGAAGTGAAAAAAATTTTTAAAAAAAGTGATGAACTTTTGGTAGAAACGGGTCTCATAATAACATTCGCAACAACAATCCTACCAACCGAAATCAACATCGGCTATGAAAAGGTAAAAACTCCGCCCATATATTCCACTATCACTAAGGTGCAACAACTTCTTTAGATACGGTCACATGTCAAAAATATGTAAAAGCGCGAAAACTTGTCCCAAATGTGCACTTAAAGGACGAAATCAGTGAGAAATGCATAAATATGACAAATTGTATAAACTGCAAAATACACAGCTTAGAACCAAACAACAATTTCGCCACTGACAAAAGCTGCCCAGTCTTTATAAAACAAAGAGAGCTCCAAGCCATAAAAATGATTAACAAAGTAGACCACAAAACATCTTTAGCCATTTATGAGAGACACTAGCACAGCCCTCAACAATACTCATTTACTGTACCTAACCAGCCACAACCCACCAACCAATAAATTAATCAAACCCAAAATTTACACCGAAAAAAAAACACAACTACAGCAAATACCTCTATCACAAATGAACCTACAACATCAACACCACTACCACCAGCACTGGTCCCAAAACCCATTACCACACTTCGTCAACCAGTAAGCTACTCAGACGCTCCCAGTAATTCTGACTCCGAACCCCAGGCGCTACCTACAACTTCTGCCAAATCAACGAAGCTCACAACAAAAATATTTCCGGTTAAAATGTCAAAACGTAAAAGAGTACAATTAAAAAGCGTATACAACCCACGGAAGACGCTGAATATCTACACGAAGGAGAAGACTACCACAGCTTAAACTCTACATTTTAAATAAAAAATGTATATTTGCCATACTAGTTATGCCAATAAAAACTTTGCAATGGAAAATTCGAGGTTATTTAAACAATTATAACGAACTCTTAGGGCCGGTTACTCAATGTCTGGTTAACACTAATCTGCGGTTAAACATCGTTATATGCATGGAGTCGAAGACGTCGATAACGATGTTTAACCACAGATTAGTGTTAACCAGACATTGAGTAACCGGCCCTCAATCTTAATAAAGCAATTCAACCCAAAAGTAATCTCCCTTCAAGAAACCCACATCAAGCCACACGACCGTTTCACAATACCAATAAACTATTCTATCTATTCAACAAACACTGCTCCCAGCTCTTTCGGTGGGGCAGCCCTCCTCATCCATAACTCCATCCAACACAAACAAATCACTATCGGTAACGACTTCGATGAATAAAGTTCACAGTGATATCTGCATACATTACTCCCACACAAAGCTTTAACCAAACAAACCTGCACAACGTCCACACAACAAATCATGTCCAATAACGGGCGACTTCAATTCATGGCACAATATGTGGGGCTCCCCTAAAAATAACCAGAAAGGTAAAATATTAGCCAATTTCATCCTCCTCAACGCAGTCCAATTTCATCCTCCTCAACGATGGGCCCCCTACTCACTTCTCTACAAGAAACACATTTACACACATTGACCTGTCATTTGCCAGCCCGGATATAGCCATCGCAGCAAAATGGGAACTACAAGAGGATCTATATGGGAGTGACCATCTCCCCATTGTAATAAGCATCCATCCCCAACAACTTCACACCACAAAAGATGAGCACAACTACAAACAAAACAACAACAAAAAACCAAAAAAACAAAACAACAACAGCAACTACAGCTACAACAACAAAATCTACCACAGACCCGCGCCACCAGCGGCGGTGGGCATAACGGCATCAGCCGTAATAGCAAAAGCTACAGGTACACCAGCAACGCCAAGCAGCAGCACGCTAGAAGGCTCTAAGAACGCCAAGCGCAAGAGCAGCTTCTTGGACAAGCTGACAGCAGAGGAAGCATCGCTGTTCATCGAGCATGCGAGGGATGACGAACGTCCAGGCACCAGTGCAGAGGCGTCCTGTAGCAAGGCACGGGGCAAATCAAGATGTCTTAGATTTGTATGATTCATCTGCCGAATTAGATCGGCCGCAACACCGGTCCGGCAGTTCTCTTTACAGGCACACAGAAACAGCGAGATCAGAAAGCAGCCACCGTACCGAGGGCAGTCACCGCTCCAACAGTCGGCATCGCTCAAGCAGTCGGCGCCGCTCTAAGAGTCGTCACCGCTCAAAGAGCCGGGAGCGCTCAAAGAGTCGTCACCGCTCAAAAAGCCGGGAGCGCTCAAAGAGTCGGCGCCGCTCTGACAGCGGTAACCGGAAGGGGGAAGGTAGACACAGGTCCCCCAGCAGCAACGCCTCCGCTACATCTGACGAGTCTGTTTGGGAGAAGCAGAGGAGGAAGAAAAACCGCAGGGCCAAACCTCCTCCGATGCCTCTGCCAGGTCAGCCAGGGGCTCTGGACGACCGACACCGCGAAGATTTGAATGGCTCCGAGGTCAAGTGGTACCTCCGGTACCTGGAACAGGGCAAGCCCCCAGTTGAGGCCAGAGCCATGGCCAGCGTCAGAATGGAGGTCGAGAATGAGCGTAGCAGCAAAGGCAACAAACCCGCACCTGCCGATAGGTGGAAGAGCGGGCCCAATAAACAGGCACACTTACCCGCGCCTGCTGCAAAGCAGAGAAGCGGGCCACAGCAACAACAGCAGCACAGACCCGCGCCCGCCGGATGGCGGAGAAGCGGGGAACCCCCTG